GTGTTGGGAGAGGAAAAAGACTACTGCACGCAAAGCACCACACTTTACACAGAACTGTGCGTTAACTAGCATCAGAAGAAAGGTGCACGTAGGAATCATGATATTCAGAAAGAAAACAAGCTACAGTCAATCAGAACTTAGCTCAGCAAGCAAACTAACCACAAATGAACAACGTGGGCTTTCTATTGCTGTAGTCTACATGATACTCAAGTATACGGCGTATAACCAGCAAAAATGTTTGGGAATTTCCGTATAACCTCTTAAAAGTGCCCAATGATACGCAACATGTACACAGATCCACACATATATATAGACCCTTTCCAAAAAAATTAGAATATCATGGAAAAGTTTTTAACTTCCATAATTCCATTCAAAAAGTTAAAATTTAATAGATTCAGCGCCCACAATTTAAATGATTTCAAGTATTTGTTTATTTTTACATAATTTGGGCTTCCAGCTCATAAAACCCACGAAAACCGGATTTCAAAAAATTTGAATACCGTGAAGACATCAGCCCACACTACTCAGTTTTTGCAGAAAAAAATGGAAAGAAATTAGGATCACAACAAATCAATCAAAATATGGTACTTTCAAAACAATATGTCAATCTACAGTACTTGGTTGTGAATCCCTTTGTTTTAATCACTGCCTCGATGCGACGTGGCATTGAGTCAATCAGCCTGTGGCATTGACTGGGAGTTATGGAAGCCCAGATTTCCTTGATGCTGTCAGCTCTTCTTTGTTGTTGGTCTGGTGCCCCTCATTTTCCTCTTGAGAATACCTCATAGATTCTCAATGGGGTTTAGGTCCGGTGAGTTGTCCGGCCAGTCAAGCACTGTGGCATGGGCATCAAACCAGGTTTTGGTGCTTCTGGTAGCATGGGCAGGGGCCAGGTCCTGCTGGAAGATGAAATCTGCATCTCCATACAGATCCTCAGCAGAAGGAATCATGAAGTCCTCTAAAACATTCTGGTAGACTGTTGTGGTGACCTTGGATTTAAGAAAGCAGAGTTTACCAACACCTGCACTGGACATTGCACCCCAAATCATGACTGACTGTGGATATTTCACACTGGACCTCAAGCAGTATGGGTTCTGTTCCTCACCCTTCTTCCTCCAAACCCTTGCACCTTGATTTCTGAATGAAAGGCACACTTTACTTTCATCAGAAAAGAGGACCAAGGAACCCAACAGTTGTAGCCCATCTCCTGGATGCATCTGAATGTGGTGTTTTTTGAAGCCGTGACTCCCGCCTCATTCCACTCTTTCTGGATCTCTGACAGATTCTGGAATCTTCTCCGTTTGATAATCCGCTGAAGCCCACGGTCATCTCTTTTGCTGGTGCATCTTCTCCTGACACATTTTGCCCTTCCACTAGACTTTCCATTGATATGCTTGGACACAGCACTCTGTGAACAGCCAGCCTCCTTAGCTATGAACTTTTGTGGCTTACCCATCCTGTGGAGGGTATCAATGATGGTCTTCTGGCCAGTTATGTCTGCAGTCTTCCCCATATTGAACCGAGCTGAGACAATTGAACCAAACTGAAGCAATTTAATGACACCTGGGGAAACCTGTGCAGGTGCATTGAGTTTAGTAGGTGATTAGTGTGTCACAGTTTAAAACATTCATGCCCTGCAAAATTTGGGCTGATTCTTCACAGTATTCTAATTTTTTGAAATCCTGTTTTCGTGGGTTTCATGAGCTGGAAGCCCAAATTATGTAAAAATAAAAAAATCAATACTTGAAATCGTTTAAATTGTGGGCCCTGAATCTATCATCTATTAAAGATTAACTTTTTGAATGGAATTATGGAAGTTAAACAACTTTTCTATTTTTCTATTCTATTTTTTTGGAAAGGGTCTGTATTGTATATATGATTTTTGTTGTATCCTATTTGTTTTGAAATACATGAATTTGTTGCTGCAAGATTTTGCACTGGTTTGCTAAGCTAAGCTAATCAGCTTGGTTCAGATCTACTCGTTTGAACTCGGTTTTAAACAGTGTTGCCAGATTTCGCAATAGAAACAAACCAGCTCTATGGAAACAAGCCCAAAAGAAACAACCAGCTCTATGAAAACAAGCCCAAAAGAAACAACCAGCTCTATGAAAACAAGCCCAAAACAAGCCCAACTGGCAACCCACCACATTGTGTAAAACAGAGGTAGTTTTTAAATATACATTTATTATGGCATTACACATAAACAACAGCAAAATTATGCAAAACACTTTGAATAACAAACTTTTAAGTAAATATACATTTTGCATATGTAATTTTTTCTACATTTTTAAAAGCAAAACATCCTGACCTTCTCGTGTGAGTAGGGCCCCCTAGTGGTGGACCACAGTATGAGTGTTTGGGGTGTGCGCCCACAGACGTATAAATAAAATGTCTGTGTGTGTGTGCGTGTGTGTGTGTGTGTGTGTGTGTGTGTGTGTGTGTGCCCGCCTCACCAACTTGGGCGGGAGCAAAACGGGGGCATGGAAGGAACTACCTACTAGCATTCGTCTTTTGCTGTATTGTACGAACCTGGGAGATAATCAACTAGTTTCACTCGGAAAGAAAGTCAAGCCCAAATAAGCAATTTTACGTTCAAAACAAGCCCAAAAAACTGCGACTCACAAGATTTGCAAGCGACTTTAGAAAAAAACAAGCCCAAAGTCGCTTATAAGAAGTGGACTTGGCAACTATGGTTTTAAACTGTTTTATTTATTCATTTTTTCTGCCCCCTGTTGATTTTTGTTGTTTTGTATTTGCTGTGTTTTAATGTAACAAAGTAGAAATACTTTGTTACTGTACTTACGTATCTTTACTTTACTTCGTTATTTACATTTCTAGCGACTTTCACTTTTGCTATATTTTCTCAATAAAATGTGTATATTACAAAGTACTTTTACTTCAATACATTTCCCTTAACCATCTTAGTTACTCGTTCCTACAATATAAAATTAGAAGAGATATGATTGGACAATGCCCGTTTGTTCTCCCAGTCTGACTTCACGTGGCCCTTTCTCTCTCCCTCACTGACACTCTCACTCTCAAATCCGGCCTCTCCCCCGCCGCTTGTGTGAAAAGTGTGGCACTGCAGCTCCTGCTGTGAACAAGCTAGATGCAGATATCAAATAAGTTGACTCACAGTGGAGCCACTACTGTAAATTCCTGATAGGTGTGAAAATGACGGTAGCTGCTAAAAAGGAGAGGTTTGGTGTTCTCCAGTACATTAACTGCTTTAGAGCAGCAAGGTATGAAGTTGTCGGGCCACTAGTCTTCCCATTAAAGAACACGGAGACAGATATCCAGTTTAGGGTGATTTGTTTGCTGTTTCTTCTGGTATTTACACACAGCAGTAAACCAGTAAAGCACAAACAAGCTTGAACAACAAGGCTCCGTCCGTGTCAGGAGAGAAAAAAAAACCTTCAACTGAGCACAGCCCATTACACAGAGCGGTCCGTTCACAAGCATTGGAACAGCCACAGTGTGTTGAAGACCATAGGAACTATTGAATTCAGAAAGAAACAAGCCATAACCAAACTGAACCTAGCTCAGTAAACAACCCAACTACACAACAATGTGAGCTTTCTAACAGCTTTGTTAATAAAGGTTAATAAAGGTTAATAAAGGTTGAATACTTCAATAGAATCAGACTTTTTAAAGAACATTCTTCCTTTGATCAGTTCAAACTATCCAAGCTTTTGTCATTGGATATTGCGCCCAATAAATGTTGTTTAGGAAATTCTAACCATTTACTTTTACTTAAGTAATACTCTTACTTTAAGTACATTTTATATGATAAATTTACTTTTGATACATAAAATGTCAGATACTTTAAGACTTTTAATCAAATAATAATTTTAAAGGAGACTAACTTAAAGTAATTTTATGGTACGATACTTGTACTTTCACTGAAGTATCACTTTGAGGTACTTTATACAACACTGTGTAATTGTTTTGAGAGCGGAGGGTCCCAGTCTCGTGCGGAGCAAGTCTCGTGGTGCTACATCGTGGCGAGGTGGGCCTAGCGAGCTGCTAACTTTCAACGCACACAAGAGCTTAGACCATGTCACCGCTGAGAGACTGCATGGGATCCACATTGCTTGATCACCCTGACCTTTAACTTATTCCACCGTGGTCTTTATTTTTCAGGACTTCTCTTGTTTTTTTTAATCAGTGTATTGAGATCTGCTCGCTCTTACTAGCCTTGGCTCAATATGGCTTCCGGCTTCATACGTGCATCGTGTGTCAAATATTCAGCTGTCAACATCAGATGAAAGGTGGTGGATG